TTGGCTTCCTTTGTTAGACTGCAATACCCCATATCCATCGAAGTGTCTGAAAGGTCGGTCTTTAAAGGGGCTTGTTTGATTCTATTCAGCTAATCCAACAATCCCCCCTTTTTTTCTTTTTTTCCCCTTTTCTTCCATTTTTTTCCTTTTTTCTCTACAGTAAAAACAACTGTTTCTAAATTATTTATTTATTTTTTATTTTGTTTCCTTTCTTTCTTTTTCTCTACAGCAAAAAACAACTATCCTCAAATTATTAATTTATTTTTTCCCCTTGCCCCCCCCTTTTTCTCTACAGTAAAAAGCAACTGTCTCTAAATTGTTTATTAATTTTTAATTTTTTCCCCCTTTTTTTTAAAACAGTAAAAACAGCTGTCTCCAAATTACTGATTTATTTTTTCCCCTTTTTCTTTCTTTTTTCCCTTTTTTCTCTACAGTAAAAAACAGCTGTCTCCAAATTATTGATTTCCTTTTTTTTCTCTTTTTTTCTTTGTTCCCTTTTTTCTCTACAGTAAAAAACAACTGTCTCTAAATTATTATTTTGTTTCCCTTTTTTCCTTTTTTTCTCTACAGTAAAAAACAACTGTCTCTAAATTAAATTTCATTTCACCTGTTTTCTGTCAGTGTTTTTTTTCAAACAGTGGATATCAATGAGGTCCTGCTGTATCTTTAAATTGCTGTATCTTTTAAATTGCTGTATCTTTAAATTGCTGTATGTTTAAATTGCTGTATCTTTAAAGTGCTGTGTCTTCAAATTGCTGTATCTTTAAATTGCAGTATCTTTAAATTACTGTATCTTTAAAGTGCTGTATGTTTAAATTGCTGTATGTTTAAATTGCTGTATCTTTAAATTGCTGTATCTTTAAAGTGATGTATCTTCAAATTGCTGTATCTTTAAATTGCTGTATCTTTAAATTACTGTATCTTTAAATTGTTGTATCTTTAAATTGCTGTATCTTTAAATTGCTGTATCTTTAAATTACTGTATCTTTAAATTGTTGTATCTTTAAATTACTGTATCTTTAAATTGCTGTATCTTTTAAATGCTCAGAAGGCAGATCGTCTTGCCTCTCCGTGACGTCATTGAACGCCCATCC